CCCCATGGTGTGAATTTCCTGAATTTGATGGCTGTACTATAGTCATGTAGGTGACAGCCATCAAGATCAGGTCTTTGTAAATTTTTGCTATTACAAGCAATGCTGCAATGAAAAGACTTACACTTACGTGTTGGAGCGTATCTATGGCAAGCTCTCTGAAACGGAGGCCTAGACTCAAGGACGAGACCTTTAACCTTGATCCCAATTGCTGTTCCTTCTCCTGGTCTTAGAGGCAGCCTGGCAGGTGCTGATGTGGGTCCTGCCTCGGGAACTCTCCTTCCCCTTTACACATCTCTTCTCTTTGCCCCCCGCCGCCTGCCCGCATTACCTGGGGAGTATCTGACCTGGCTGGCCTTGCCCCTCAGGCTCTTAGAGCCAAGATTATTTAATATTCCGTAGTGAGCCTAGAAAATCAGGTGCCCAGCCTCATGTACCACTTCCTCTGCTGTGGGCATCCTTAGTGTTGGGCTGGCACATGTGAACTCAGAAGCACATTTTTCCCTGGAGAGTGGTAGTAGGGTGAAGTGCAGACCGTGATGTAGGATTGTGTTACTCGGATTTTATGCATAGAGTAGACTTTGGGCGGTTAACAGAGAATAACATTGTTTTAATCAATGAGAAAACACAATAATTTACTTGAAACAGTTTTTGAAATAGGAGACATAGGTAGGATACTGCTTCTAGAAATATTTGTGTGTAGGTATATTCTTAGATACTTTGATTTCCTTATCCTAGTTGAAAATTAAAACCCAAAATCTGTTTAAAGAAGGGAATTGTTTCTAATCAGTCTTCAGATTTTTTTCCGGTTTTATTCTCTTGTGGCAAATATTGCTGAATGGCTAGTTCCAGTTCATTTCAAAAACAATTCAATTTTATTTTATTTTCCATCCACTGTTTATAACATTCATTTGTCATTTTTGTCATTTTGTAGACCTCCCAAGAGCAGCTGTCAGGATCTTAAGCAACATGACATTCCTTTTTGTGAGTTTGTCATACACAGCTGAGAGTGCCATTGTAACTGCTTTCATTACCTTCATTCCCAAGTTCATCGAGTCACAGTTTGGTATCCCCGCTTCCACTGCCAGCATCTACACTGGTAAGGCGCTGCCGTAGAGTTGCTTGAAAACATGATCATTTTTGACCACTCAACTGAAATGGTAATGATCAAAGAGAAACTTAAATCTAACATCAACGTGTTAAATAAGTTTGTTAGCAGTTACCTTTCCACCAAGATTTGAGGAGAAAGAAGTCAAGTCCTTCAATACTTTCACTTTGATTCATGTTGTATTACCATGTGAGATTTTTACCAACTGTGTTTTGGAAATGGAAAACTTGACACGTTTATGTTTTTATGGTTTTTTGTTAAAAAAGAAAAGCAATAGATAATGACATTCAAATTTATATCTGAATAGATCTTTTCCTGCGTTGGCATTAAAAGGTTTTAAAGTGTTAAAAAAAATAAAAAGATAATCTGAAATATAGATCAGTCCATGGTACAAGGATTTCCCCTTGATAATCGTGAACAAATTTTGATGGAATCAGTGGAGATAAATGAAGTTAGAAAGGAAATTTATCTCTTTTGTTTTAGAAGATGTT